AGAAAATGTTTGTGTGACACTGCCGAAACTACATTGATATGGCAAGCTTGACTTGGTTTTGTGCTGTGCCTTGAAACATGCCAAAGTCCAACAAGTCAACTTTCTGAACATACGGCAAAGAATCGTTCAATAACATTCAATAACAAAAAGGAACCAACATCTTGCAGTGAATCAGAATGTCTTGAACGCAGTTGGACGAGTTTGATGTTTTTTTGATCAGCTGTTCTCTTTCGACTCAAATCACGGGTGAAGGCCAGCGGCTAGGGGCCTCGGCAATCACAACATGAAGTCGGCACTCCTGCTTTCACTTGGTTGACGCAACGGATTGCCTACATGGTTTGACCATGGCAATGGCAATCCCCATGCTACTGCAGCTGAGAAACTGCCCATAGGCGAGGTCAGCACCTGGCAACTTCGTCCCCCGGAGCTGGCGCTTCGCGACCACCACGGGGCTTGTGCCAGTGCTGCGGTTCGGATGACAAGTTCCAGCTCTGGACATGCGAAGTGTTGACCAAATTGACAAGTCACAAAAAAAGGGAACTTGACAAAAAAGAGAAATGCATCCTTATCATTCCTCATATTTCCGTATCCTTATCGTTTTGCTTGGCTTTGATCTTGCATTGCGGGAATTGGACACGGTGCGAAAAGTTTCAGCTCGATTCTGAGACGATGTCACTTACTGCCACGCTGGCTTGGACTGACTGAACACTCAGTTTTTGCGACGAGATTCGCACCGGGTGAGGAGCTACTTTTCTACGACCTGCTCGGGGATCCCCTCATCAAAAAGGTCCGAACAAGTGGAGGAGCGCCTAGGAGCGCCTACACATCCTTCAAGTCTTGCGGCACGAGTTCCTTTGTGAAGCCCCTGGACCAGTTGGGATAGTTGGGTATGATTCGATATGATTCGCAGCGTCCGGAGATGATGCATCATGATCTGCACACTTCGCGGATCACAGAAACGTATTCGCACACCTCCGTGGTCTCACTGTCGGTCACCCATTGCTTGTGCTGCCCTCAGAAGCAAGCTTGGTCACCTCATCCTCGAACGTCACTTTAGCGGAGCGACGCTGGGTACAGTACAAACCTTTGAGGCCAAACAGCAGGCTGACACTGATCTGATGCTCAAACCTGTTCCCTTCTGACTTTCGAATTGATGACTTCTCTGCATGAATCCGGGCACTGTCGAATACAACTGCACGATTCTGCAGCGATGGTATCGAAATGTTATTGCCGTCCCGCTGTCTGACAAGCTCTTCCAGCATGCTTCCAGTGCTGTGTCCTTCCAAAGGCAAGGGTTCGACATCAGTCGTTGCATCATAGATGGTAATCCCACCCGTGGACTCGTTTTGCTCGATTCCATCTGGGGAGAGCCAGAAATGAACGTTCACTGCTGCTTGATCTGCAAGTAGGTCAGTCCCCTGATCGCCAAACTTAAAAGCCCAAACATTGGTCAGGGGCAAATCACAAAGAACATCTGCAAGGAGTATCTTCAGTTCCTCCGCCACTTGGGCCAAGAGTTGGGGAGAGAAACCGGTGCTCAAGCCAGCGCCCAGAAAATTTGGTCTCTCTCGGTACCAAACCGTGGAAAGCTCTGCAAAGTCTCGTAGCTGCATCATGGCCTCTGGCGTCAAGAGATTATCAATGACAAGGACACCACCTGCTGAGAGGAAACCTCCAGCTCTGCTTGTCACCTTTTGAGAGCTGCTTTGTAGCAATCGGGTTTCCAGGGATGATGCAGGATTCAGAGCTTGCACCAAGCGCGGACAGGGATGAATGTATAATCTTCGATTGTGGTAAGGGTAAATGCTGTGCCACTGCTCAGCTGTTAGTTCCATGATCCCCTCCCTCACTCTTGTAGCCGAACGAAGCACACGAGCGTATGCATCTCTTGCCTGAGCAACTTTAGGCAGCAAGCCTTTGCTTTCCAAAAGCTTGAACACCTTCAAGTCATGCTGAATCCTGTGCTCAGAAACAAGGCCTCCAAGAGCAGCATTTCCATCGAGACCCTGCATATCAACAGGAACGAAAGCATGGGCTGGCATACCTGCACCTAGAAGCTCCGGCTCTTCTTCACTCAGAAATCCTCTCGGGGTCCTGTAGCGGATCGCTGCAAAGGTCTCCCAGGTATCCAAAGTCATTGCGTAGAAAGTGGACTTTGGTTCCATGATGTGGGCCCAATTGCCCGATTGGTCCGCTTGATACAGCATGTAGCCATCATCACCCCAGCGGGGCATGACATGTGTGAGCACCGCTGCGGCCGCAAATTCTTTCAATAGAAAGGGACTGTCAGGAAATTTGGCCATGGCGGAGACAAAGTGCAATCGCGCTTCTTCAGCGTTTCGGTGTGATAGAAGCAGGTTCCAACCAAAGCGAATCTGCTGCATGATCTGCTCTCCAGAATTCAAGTCTGTGAACTGCATCAACAGATTCTTCAGCTCCTCCTGACACAGCCAGCAAGGAACATGCTGCTTACCTCACCACAACTCTACCTAGAAAAGCAAGGAAAAGCATAAAAACAGCTTCACTTTTTGCAGTGACCATGGCTGTGTGTCAGGTTCACATCCCTCGGTTCGGAGTCGGTTCGCTCACTCCTGTATTGCTGTCCGGTCAGCATGAGTGCAGCCTGCACTCGCAGGGCATTGTTAAGCCAAACAACTAATACGCACGGAAGCAGCACAGCATATCGAAGATTGATGCAGTCTACTGTCGTGAAGCCAAACTCAAATTGACCTAGCCACTGCAGAAGGAATCGCATTCTCCTGCTTTAGACTACCATGATGAGCTCCTGAATTCCCCAAAAAGGTTGTTCGAGGAAATGAGGTTCCAATAGGTTCCATCATTTTCCATCAGCCTTTCACTTCCACCCATTGAAGTCTCGCTGCAGGAAGCGGTTTCACTTTGGTACGAGCGTTGGGGCACTGCTTCGAGCAGATCTTCAGATCTTCTATTTATTTCTGGGGTCCGGCTAGCACCAAACAAAGGCTTCCCACTTCCCGCAACATATTGCCATCATCAGCCATCATTAGCCTGCTCCGGTGGCATTCAAATGGCGACAACCAGCATCCGCCAGGGATTCAGGCGTCTCGCCAGCCCGCAGGATTATCCTTCCAGGTGGACAAGTGAAGCCACCAGCATTGCTAGCACGCTGTGAAGGCAAGGAGAATTCTGTTCATGATTGTTCATGTCTTTTCGATATCCATGGGCCCATGGGGCAAAAGCAAACCTATTGCGTGCAACACCGCCCCATCTGTCTCCTTGCTGAGATGTTGTCCTGTCAAGAGAAAAAATGGCTTCTGGCCACCATCCTTGGGCCATGACCTACCCTCATGCCCAGTGTCTTGCTGACTTCAACATGATCGTTTCCACACGTTTCAGCATGCTTCAATGCTTCGGCATTCTTTGTCATACCTCTGTCTTACCTCTGTCTATCCTCTGCTTCCCCCTTCAAAACCCACTCTCGCCGGGATCTGCTGCGGGATCCCAACCCCAACTCACCACTCGGAGGACGGCCTTCACCAAGTTGGTGGACACAAGTATCGGAGGCCTCACGTTGACCACTTCCGCCCTGCATCCTCAGCCGCTATGACAACGTTGCACGAGCAGTGTGCTGAAGCATGCTAAAGATAGTTGTTGTTCATAAGTTCATAAGCATTGATGGTTCGAACTTGGTCCACTATTCCCACTCTGTCATGCCATCACGCTTGTCATAACATGAACATCCCACACTGCGCCGAGCATCCGAGCAGAAGCAGCACTGCAGGGAGACATCGGGTCCTGCTTGGAATTCTTTGGTCACACCTGGCAAGCCATGGGCGCAAATCTCCTCGAGAACCCATTTTGACCTAGTTAGCCCTCTCTCGGGGTTGAAAAGTCAGTGCACCCACACAAAGCACAAAGAGTTTACTGTCACATCTATTTTTTTGCCATTTTTTGCCAGGGCTTCTCAGAGGTTTGCCCCACCACACTGCTCGCATCTTCGCGCAAGGATTGCCAGGTGAACGTGAAATGAAATGACAGAGTTAAGTGCTGCTAGAAAAACATGCGCCTGCACCCCCCAGCGACTTCGAACCAGCGGTCATTCAGGAGGCAGGCTGAAAGTGGCATCAAGAAACGAAAACCTCATCACATGTTTCTATCCGTTGGTGGTTTCATTACATCGTACATACCCAACAAACTTATTCATCGAAATCATCATCCTAGCCAGGATGGGAATCATGTGTGAATGATTTTTTCTGCATGAGGAATTCCTACAGTACAGTTTTGGGCCAGGCTGCAGACGAAGGACAACATGGGCATGCGGCATGATCCAATCTCGGTCCCCAGCAAATAGCTGGCCGCAGTGCCGGGGCAGCGTCGCATCAGGAGAGTTTCATTTTCCTTGCGGTGAAACGGATCTGTGTGTCACCTGAGCGCAACATGGAAAGATTTGGGAGGTGCATCTCTTCTGCGTTCAGCGTTCAGCAAAATCATATGAACTGGCCTGGATAGCGTGATTGAGAAAAGGTTGAACAGCAGTGATTGTCAAACCGACAGCTTTGAGAACATAGACTCATGAGACCTCCGCAACAAAAGACACCCAACAGCCCAACAGTCTCAAAGTCAACATCAACTTACCAGGTTCCTGCACCGAGTCTGAAGTCTGCCATCTGATTACAAACTCTTCTCACGATGTTTGCCTTTTCGTATTAACACGCTCCGTGTCGTTGGTATATAGCCTATTCAGATCTATTCAGTCCAAATAGATATTAGATTGCAAATAGACACAAATAGAATCAAAGGGGTACAAATAGATGGCTAAGACTCACTGACAAATTTGGCAAATGACCAGGAGTCGATCAGGCCTGCTGCGTCGTCGGCGGCGCAGAGGTCTAGCACTGGCAACAGAAGATGCGGATGGGTAAAGGGATTGATGTGGCAATGTGGAGGTCTAGCTGTGTGAGCATCTTCACAGTAGATTTCAAGCACTGTCTCTTGACGAATAAATATCACATGGATTGAATGCAGTCCTGCCAAGCCGGACGGTCATACGCAGTCCATCGACCTGGGAGCTCGCGTCTCTCACAACCCCCAGCGCACATTCAAACATCATCAAGTTTCAAACATCATAATATTTGGGAATCAAAGAATTTAACTGTCCATTCTGTTCCTACAGTTACAGTCCACGGAAGTTCCCAGCACACATCCAAACACTGAATACATGTCATCAGCAAGTGTCTGTGCATGCACTCCGCCTTAAAATTGATGCCTGTTGAGGCTATCGGCTATCACAAACACATCCCAATGCCAATATCCCGTCCCCGATGCAAGCTCCGAGCAAATGGCAAATTGTTCAAACCGTTGGTTCTAGGTCGCTGACTTCTGCACCGATTGGATCCGGGAAGAACAGAAACCTGAAAGCCAAGAGAGAGAACTGCGAATCTCTCGAATCATCGCCTCCTGCCTACAACGGTTTCATCACTGGGACTACCACTCCAAGTTCTACATAAACTCTGCAGGGTCGACGTGCTCCTTTGATCTGATGGTACTGCAAAGTTGAAGCCCTCGGCAATGCCACCCAAGAGCCACACGGATACCACAAGGGAAATACCCTCCAGTGATCAAACATGGCAATGAAAAATGCCCTAAAAGAAGGTTTTAATGAGAAAATCAGCTATAAATTGGTGATGTTCCATTGCCATGTTTGAGGGTACAAATTCCATATTTGACCACTGCCTTTTCTGACTCCCAGCTTTGGGCACCAGGCACTACAACTGACATCCTGCGAGCAGAAAACGTCGCATTGCAAAAGACCCTCCGTGACGCTGACCTTGTTGTACACAAAAACAATCAGACTGGCAAAGGAAAAATATGGAAAAATGATAGGAAATTCTGGTGAACCTCCCATACCAACATATACCGCAGACTTGGTGCAATTTCAATAAATTTCCAGCAAGGACAAGCAAATGGCATTTACTGTTTCAAGTTCCAGCTCTGAGTTGCCACGTTCGCCGAAGTCGTGGCGGATCTGTCCGGATCTGCCCGGATTTTCACGGAGTCTGCCTGGCCACTTGATATCGCAGAAGAATCGCAAAAGTCGCCGATGGATATCCAAAAGGAGTGAAAATGTCCCACCCTGGCTATCAAGAAATTATCAGAAGCAACGCTGCGCACCAACCTGGCACGCACAGCCTTTTCCCCACACGCACGATGAAATCGCTGTGCCACTCCCCTGTGCAAAATGAAATCTGCACTATGATACACAAATCCGCAAGAATATGCAGTCTAATTGACATGCGGCACGATTCGGGCCATGATCCTTCAGAGGACCAAAATGCTGTACTTGGCAATTTTCCTGCCACCCAGCTATCCCAGCTTCAGGTCCGTCTTTCCGACATTCCTGTTGAGCGTTTACGCTCGAGCTACATGTACCCAATTCAGAACATCAATCTTCAACCTTAGCATCAGCCTGAGGCACACGGAGCGAAGGTAGTAGACATGGATCATGGAGCCGACTAAGACAGAAACAAAACAGTCGTATGCTTGGCGTGGCCACACTTCTACAGATTTGAGCTGTAGACGGGGGACACATGTTCCTACCTATAAGCTTGATACGTCCATGCGATCATATTATTATACAGCAAAAACAGTTATACATCTAGATTGATCGTGATTAATGAATCTGTCTATCTGTCGTCTCTGTCTCGATCTCTGTCTCTGTCTGTCTACCATTTCTGTATCCATCACCATCTATCTGTATGTATCTATGTGTCTATCTGTATCTGTATCTATACATATATATATATAAAGGCTCACTTGGCTCTTTTTGACGCATAGCAAGTCGGGATTTGTCAAATGATAAACAACGGACTGAAAGAAGTGTATCTCTCACCAGAGAAACATCTTCCTTTAAAATAGCCAAATTTGGCAAAAACAATCAACTTAACCTTCCGAAAAACAGATTCAGACTCAACCAGAGTCAAATAAATCAGATTCAGACTCAACCAGTGTCAAAAGTAACTCAAACCATGAGTTACACATCCCAAAAGGCAATAAAAGGGTTCAGTTGAGACCCCCTCGCCAAACCGAGCGGGAATCAACTGCCTTAGTACTCCCTGGGGCCTCGCCAACACCGAGGCTCTCCCAGGCCCCAAGTACATTAAAAAGGGGGGAAAAGACACAAAAAAATACCCAAACTTGAACTCCTTCCCCCTCCGTGAGGAGGGGGCCTCCCAGGGTGGGAGGGGATGGGCCCTGAGCCAAAAACTGCAGTCAAGGAATCACCACCTCGCCTTTACCCCTGGGGCCAGGTCAACAAAGGCTCACTTGGCTCTTTTTGACGCATAGCAAGTCGGGATTTGTCAAATGATAAACAACGGACTGAAAGAAGTGTATCTCTCACCAGAGAAACATCTTCCTTTAAAATAGCCAAATTTGGCAAAAACAATCAACTTAACCTTCCGAAAAACAGATTCAGACTCAACCAGAGTCAAATAAATCAGATTCAGACTCAACCAGAGTCAAAAGTAACTCAAACCATGAGTTACACATCCCAAAAGGCAATAAAAGGGTTCAGTTGAGACCCCCTCGCCAAACCGAGCGGGAATCAACTGCCTTAGTACTCCCTGGGGCCTCGCCAACACCGAGGCTCTCCCAGGCCCCAAGTACATTAAAAAGGGGGGAAAAGACACAAAAAATACCCAAACTTGAACTCCTTCCACGTCCCCCTGGCCTGCGACAGCTGCTCAAGTTTTTGAATCAACGGACGGCAGTGCGGTAAACAGCATGAAAAGGCTTCAAAACTTTTTCGGGAACATTTAATTCGGCAAGGATAGCCAATCCTTCATTGATATATACCTTGGCCGTTTTTGGGGCGGCCCAGCGCCCTTGAACCATGAGTTTGTCAAAAGAACCGTGGTGCCGAAACCAATGTGTGGCCCCACCCCGACGTAGGCTATACGGCCTAAAGCCAAAGTCACTGAGCTTAAGGGCTTCGAGAGTGTGTGAAAAAAGGGTGCGCCACTTGTGAGGAGAAGGGCAAAGGGCAGAATTGGGTTTTTGCTTCAGTTTCCATTTCCAAAGGAGGCGGAGAACATCCACAACTCCCAGTGTAGAACTTTCCAAGGCCCCTTGCCGCTTTCCTCCTTTTGTAAGACCCAGCGAAATGACAGCCACTTGTTTGGGGGAAATCATGGAAATGTGCTGAGACGAAAGCCCCAGGAGTTCCCCTGTTCGGAGCATACAGTAAAAACCCAGCAAAAGACTTAGAGCAAAATTTTCTTGGTTATTTAGGAGAGCATGACCCACCATGGCATGGACCACACCCTCCGGCAGTGGAGGCGCCCGATTGGGCACCTCGTTCTGACTCCAAGTCTTTAACAAACGCCAGCAAGCAGGGAGTTGACCACGCAGCTTAGGATCCAAGTCTTGTAACCCTGCAACCGCGTCATTTGCCTTTGCGCGGCCCTCGCCTGATGCCCAGAGGTGCTCAATGAACTCCGACACAAGAGGATCCAATTCCTCTCGCTTCGAGGGTAGAGTCAAAGAATTAGCTTTCAGAAAGCTGTAGAAACCCTGACGGGCAGCTTCATAGCGTTTTTTCGTGCGCGATTGTACAGTCAAAGATTGCAAAGAACCTAGCTTTTTTCGAACAGCGATACGAGCCTCCCTTGTGCGACCTTCAACGTGGCGACTCACTTTACCCATTTTTTCTTGACCTTCCGCCGACTGGGAGCGTCGGCGGGATTATCAGTCGTCCGTACAAAACCCCAAACGGGGTGAAGGTTGCACACGAGGAGGTAACTGTTCAATTTTGCTAAGGTTCTTCGCATCTTTCGAGAGCTACTCCGTCCTCTGCTTAGGGCATGGAGGCACACAAGGGAGTCAGTCAAATGCACGAAACGGCAAGAGGAAGCATGGGCTTGGGAAACCCACCACCTGACAGAAGTATAGATAGCTCTCAATTCCAGCACGTTAATGTGTTCGGGGGATCCTTTCCAGGACCACCCAGCAATGGTTTTCCAGCGCCATAGTTTGGAGGGCACGGAAGCACGGAGTCTCTGGTATTTCACCTGTTGTTCGGTTGAGGAATGGAGCATGATATCTTCTCCTTTGATGGAGACGAGTCCAGCGAGTCTTTTGACCAGATGCACTCCTTGGGCTGGTGGGACGACGAGTTCCCGACGTACAGGAGGACGCTGCAGGAGACGTTGCAAATCTCCCGAGCCTCCCGGTCTGCAAGCCTGGACCACTTGTTGGGGTGTGAAAACACGACTAAGACCGAGAACGCTTGTCAAGCAGCCAACCAGCCATCCCACCACCTGGACACACCATGCATTTCCGACCAACGTCAAACGGGCATCATTGTACTCAGCCGTTCCACGTTTGCTTTTGGGCCAGCATGGCAGGGTATACCCAGCGGGCATCCCCATAATCACCTCCCGCTCGATCAAGGAGGCAACCCGTAGTTGTCCCGTGCGATGTTGAAGACAATTTTGGTCTCGATATTGATAGGGAGGAAACCGATGAGAGTCTTGCTCCCACCGCGATTGTTCATGGTCAGCACAGAGATGAAGTCCCGCTGGCTTTCTTCCTGGTTGTTTGGCCGGTCTCGAGGTCGTGAAAGTGGGCAGCCGTTGCTCCGGCCACTGCAGGTTCCACCCTGGTTCAAGGAAATCTGCTGGGGTGATCTGTGCCTGCAGGAGAACTTCATGATAGCCCTCCCTGGAAGTCGAGCCCTCCATGAAGACCTGAGCTCCCTCCATATTCAGGAGCTCCCAATCGCACCAATACAGCCGGGGGCGATGAGCCAGCGTCAACCCAGAAGCATCAATGCGGTAAGGGATATCCCCAAAAGCTTGGCTCATCGTAGTTCGGTCACCTATGTCCATCGACGCCACCGACTCCATAATGCACCGGACTTGGGCCCACGGAAAATGTTGCTTCAGGAGATCCCGAATACGTGGAACGTGTTGGAAGAGACAGCTACGGGCATCCCTGAGAGCTCCCCTTTTGTCCGCGTTGAGGCCGGACACGCCCTGGGGCGGTCCGGCCCCCAGGAGCACCAGGCCGACCTGGCCAAAACGGCAGGCCCATTCGGAAACCATAGCCTCATTGACCAATGCCACGTCCGACACTAAGACGCTCCCCGGAAAAGCGGCTTCTACCACCCGATGGCCCTCCTCGTTTTTCTCAACACTGACATGACCTGCCATCGGCAGCCCTAGAACGTCACAGGCCATTCGGAGGCAGCCTACCCCATCGAACAGCCCCACTGAAAGCACCCGCATCAGGTCGTGTTCCTCAGGAAGATCCCCTCTCACAGAAGCGTTCGCCGCCGCTGCACCGTAAGAGGTCAACCCAGTTGAAACACAGGCACCACCGCCACTGGATGAGGCATCACTAGCAGTCACTTGCCCCATGCATTTCAACCTGAAATCCAGCCGCGCTAAGGGAATCAGGGCACAAAACCTGGCCAGTTCCAGACGGACAGTTGCTGGCAAGGGCAGGCGCACCACAGGAGGGTGAGCCTTAAAACCCTCGATGAATGCCCAGACGGAGTTAAGTGCGGCCAGCAGGGGTCGTCTAAACATACAGAAATAAACAAACCCGCCGCAAACCACTTGCAACTCCCGCTGGGTGCCGCTCCCACGGCGCAACAGTTCGAGGGCCAGTCCCACGTAAAGGGCGACCTTCGGAGGTTTAGGGTACGCAATCCCCAACTCTCCATCAACGATAGCCCCTTGCACCTCTGCTACGGTTTTCTGACAGACCGATTTCTTGGGATGCCTAGGCAAGTGAGCATCAGAGTAGGCCTGGCGTGCAATCAAAGACATCAGCCCCGGCTTTCCAGTAATCAGAGATGCAGTGGCAGGGTCAGTCTTAGTGATTACGTCAAAGTTGTCCAAATAAATCCGGTAGAGCTCTGAAGCACTGCTTACGGGACGGTCTTTTCGAAGCTCACCCTGCCCCCCAATCGGTGGGACAGACTTTTTTAATGCAGAGCTAATGACGTTCCGGTGGATGTGCTGAGCCACCCCCACGCTGTTGCGAAAACCCATGGGCAAGACCCTTGCGTGCAGGACACACCGCCGCCCTCGGAGGTGGCTGGGCAGGAGTCCCTCAGGGACATCCTTGTTGAAACCAAGGAACGGGAACCAGCAAGCCGGAAGGGAGAACAGGTAGAAAAAGCATTTTATGTCCTCCGAAGAGATAATGGCAATTTCCCCGTTTTCCAACATAAATGGGTTCAACCCCGAAATACCCGGCAGGGTAGCGATATCGGAGTCCACAGGGCGACAGTTTTCATTAAGAGGCACAAAGTTCATGATCAACCTCTGTGTCTCCAGATTGTCAATATATTCCCCTTTTCCAACGCCAAAAAGTCCCCCCAGCAGGGGACGACCGTGAATATGATAAACTTCATCCAAGGGGATAATACCGCAAATCCGGCTAGTAATTAGTCCATCG